TAGTTGTTCCACCCTGTATACAAGAACGCTAGTTTAGTTGTCGATAAAGAAGAAAATGACTATGAAATTAGCATTATTAGAAATACGTCACAAAAAATGTAAATACCCTTCGTTTTCAAACAAAAACAAGGATTAACTCGCTTGTAAAGATTTATTGCGTCCCGTTGAAAAGTTTTCGACAGTTCTGCGAATTGCTCCCTCAATATTTTTAGAGCTCATCGTAACCAGTCGGTTCGTTTGCATTAACTTAATTTTTCAGACAACCTCAATGATGAACATCTGGAGGTGACAAATCTGACGAACGAGGGGGCCACAAACCTCGTGAAATTATATCTATTCTAAAAAAACGACCAAGAGTGTATTGTGACCGGGCAGTATGTGGCCTCGCCATCTTCCAAAACCAGCAATCCCTTTTACCTTTTCTAAATAGAAATAGAATCTCTCAACGCACAAGCAGTGCCATTTTTAAACAAATTGTGCTAAAACATCACATACTTTCTCGCCCTTAGTAACGGTTACCTAATACTATTTACACAGCAATTTCTCGCTAAGATATTTCTATCATCATTTTTTACAAAATTGATTTCAAAACGTAGAACTTTTGGTGTGAAAACTTAATATTTCCAAGCCAATATCAACATAAATTCGGCAACTATAACTGCGTTTCATACAGCGAAATCGTCCCATCAATGAGACGGAATTCACAAAACTATAGCTGCCGTCTCGCGTGGCGGAATGCTATGGTCGCATTCCAATCTGATATTTCCTGAAGGCAAGCAATTGTTCTTTCATGTTACATTTAAATTGTATTTTTAAGAAGAATATCTAATTGGGCAAATTTGAAGGTTTAAGGTTTGCGGATTGCTTAAAAGAAAATACATCAATACATTGAGAATGCAAATACATTCCTCGCAAGACGGGCAAAATGGATGGATTTTCAATAGGTATTAAATAATTTCTAAGAGATTAATTTGTACACGTATAACAAAAGATCGAATGTAAGAAACAAACAAATATGAAATAATATACAAATTTAACTTACATGTCAACAAATGCCTCCCAAGAACTTCCCAAATTACGTTCACGAAGCACTGGAAATTCGAAGCAGGCGACTGTTTCACTCCAAATTACAGAAAAAAATACTCATATTTTCGAAAACTTGTATCTCCACAATTGTAGATGTAGGACGACGCCGAATAATTTTTTCAATTTTTGAAAATTCAGGGATTTCAACAAACATGAGCCCTGCACCATTCACTTAAGCGTCCTACACACTAAGGACAAAATTTCATCAAAAAAGGTGCAATTTTACAGAAAATTTGATTGTGTGACACAAAATTTCGCAAAATTCTGATATTTTCGAAAAATTCAATGTGACATTATTTGAAGATGTTTTTGATAAACACATTGACATGTTAATTATTAAGAAAAAATGTTTGTTTTCAAAATTATAGTTGCAAGAAGACGCCGAAATAATTTTGCAATTTTTAAAAATCAGAATTTTCAATGAACATGAGACCTGTATCATTCTCTAAACGTTCTACACGCTATCCAAGGTCAAAATTTAAAAAAAAGTGCCTTTTTGAGAAAAAATTACATTCATTTTCATGCAACATTACGCGAAAAGTACTCGAATTTTCGAAAAATTGTATATGAGCTTATTTCAAAATTTATCATAAAGGAACAGATTTCATTAAGGAAAAACAATAGCTAGCTGTTTTAATATGTTAGGTGTACGAAGACGCCAAAACAATTGAACTTTTGCAATTTTCGAAAAATTAGGGTTTTCAACGAACACGAGACCTGCATCACCTCTCTTATACGATCAATTTCAACGATAAAATTTAACCAAAAACGTTGGAGCCCTCTTTTTTCAAATGTCCCGGGAGTACCCGCCAAAATTTAAAAAAATCGGTTTCAAATTTAAGAAACCGCAACATCATCGGACGACATCGATTGAGGAATATCAATTTTGGAGAAAACAGTCTGAATGATTTATCCGCTAGCGTTGTTCAGACACACACACATTATCCACTTTTTCGTTTCCAACTTTCTGCCGAAAATTCACTTCTTGTCCCGCAACATTACCTAACTGTATCTTTTTAAGGGCGAAAAATAAAAAAAAATACAAATTATTCGGCGTCGCGAAATGGCACACGATCATTTCTTCTTGCAAAGATCTCTGCTGTTTATGGTCTCTCGATACTCCGGTCTATTCTTCTGCTCGTTAACCTACCCATTCAAATTAAAGTAAGCCCAATCACCAAAATACTATAAACATTTCAAAACAAATTTACAAAATGAAAGAACAGTTGTTTTACTCGGACCAGACAACGCGGGTCAGCGTGAAAGGAAAGGGGGTGGCGAGTGAATAGGCCGTCATAGAAATCCAGTCGGAGAAGCTGACCCCGAAGCAGTGCTGCAATGCTTTCACTTATCTCTCAGTGCCCGAAACCTGTGTTGCGTTTTCAACTTATATAACGGTGGCCACTAACCTTCATTTTGGGGCCGCAATTTACGACGCTACTTCGAAATAACCCTGATGCGTTGAATACAGGTATTCACACACGTCTTAAATATTGAAAAAGTCTCTTAGCACATTTGTTAGCGGAGATTTCTATGGCCGAAACGCCACTTCGATTCAGCCCTTTTAGTCACTTCGTTCATTTCGAAGGGTTTTTCATTAAAATGGCGGGGGGGGGACTAAGGCCTCCTTTAAGATTAATCTGGCACTAGTAAAAAACTCATACAGTGTGGTAACATTGAATTATTTACCGGTACGGAAATTAATGTACAGTAAAACTAAGACGGAAACCTGCTATCCCGGAAAAAATCTCAGAACGGAACGATTTTATACGTGAAAATGACTTCTATAAACCGGAAACCTGTCCAACGCGAAAATGGGACGGTTTTTAGAGAACGTATAGTAATAATTACCTGGCTAAGAAGTAAGTTAATTTTCAAATTACCGGCACTCTTCAGAATGGCAAAGGGCGAAGACACAACAGGGGTTACGATGTGTTTTCCTCTTACATCTACCAGGTAATCTATGGCGAACTCTGCGTCTGTTTCGCCACAACTTTCACTCTTTGGTGTGATTTTCAAGGTCTCTGTAGCTCCGAACCCGTAGTGTTGGTCGTCCACACAGCGTTCAATTATCAAAAGCGTCACAATGTTTCCTTTTAGTCTACAATACATTTCCGGAAAGGCTGTCTTGTCATCCTAGCGTAGGAATCGTGTTGACAAGGAGTAGACAACTCAAAAAGCTGTGTGCTAGTGTTCGAAATGTTAATAAAGCATATGCGCAAAACCTTTCTGCTACCGAAGAAAATATGGGATAAATGCTTGTTCTTTATTTTCCCAGTGATCCATTGTTGATTTTCTTTTATTTCCTGCAATATTTTTATTGATAAAACTATTCACTTTCTTTATTTTGTTTCACTAACAATATTCCATCGAAAATAAAGTTAAATGGTGAATTTTTGGCAATCCTCTTTAAGACGGAAACCTGCCAAAACGGAAATATTTTGAAGGAACCGTCAGATTCCGTCTTTACACAGGTTTTACTATATTACTAATTAAAGGAATTTAACATCTCAAGATTTTTTTATACAATGATTCAGTAAACTGATACAATGAAGGTTCAATGGCATGTCCAGAAAACTGCAAAAGTTAATGTTATTGAGATTTTATAATCATTACTAATACATATTAACTTATGCATCCGTAAGAAAGGTGAAGGTATATAGGAATTCATTTTGTGAAGGTTCTGCAAGTAGCTAGAAAATAAAATGCTTTGTAATGCAAATGCATACTTTTTATTAAAGAAATAAAACTGATAAATCTATTCCCAAATTATTCTTTGTCCTCAACGTTGTACAACAAAAAATCTCTTTAAATATTTTAAAAAGTGTAAAATAACATGTAAGGGACAGAATTTTAGGGTACAAAATCAGGTGGTTGTTTGCATTAATTTTGAATTTGTTGGAACCTACAAAAAAAACCATACTTCCCTTAAACGAGGAACATCTGAAAAGTTTGGAAGTCATTATGATTCAGACCCAAGAAATTTCTTTGTTAGTACTCTGGCACTACTGACTCATGAGCCTCGGGCCTGCCATGGTGTCCCAGCCTCATGGCTACGGTTACTATTCAATAGAAGTTATTCAAATAATCAAACCATTATTGCATTTTGACTATAGAAGAGGAACAACTCAAAAAACATTAAAATCTTCTTCGTGCCAAATACCTGCACTATGACAAAAATGTACTTTCCCTGCCATGGAAAAGATGTGGAAGTAGCAAGATTATAATTCTTAGGCACAAAGTGAAGTGGTGGTGCATTTAGATTATTCTGATGGTGAAATGAAACAAGAATTATTGTCTGTTCAATTTGCTAATGGAGAAAGCAAAACAATGGAGAATAATCTGAAATAACAAGAACCGCAAGTTATATTTATCAAAATAGATCTAATAAGATGCTAGATGAAAGTACAGAAACAGAAAAACATAATGAAAGTGAGGAGAAAAATGAAGAAAAGGAAGCTAAACAAGGAGAGAAAGAGTAAAATATTGAAAAGTTACAGGAAGAGTTATTCAAGAATTTGAATGTTGATGGTAGTAACTTTCAAGAGATGAATAAAATTCTTTCTTTGGAAACTTCTCCTGAAATTAAGTTTGGATTCATGAAAAATTTAATTGATACAAGATTATCAAAGACATTTTGTACCGAGAGCTTAGAAAATCAAATGTAGAACATTGGAGACTATTTCTTTTTTTCTTATGATAAATTCATAGTAAATACTTAAGAATGTATAAATGCATGGATTTTTGAATCCACTGAACACAAGCCATATGATACAACCCGCCTTTTCTATAAAAACAACACCTTTGCTAAACTTGTATCAGTAAAATTCCTTATGAATTCAACATGTATTTTGTCATATTTTAAGTGATTGCGTGATACATATTAGGAATGACATTAATAATTTTTTTACACCTTGCATTACTCATTCCTTTTATAACTTGTAGTTTTATGACCTCAGTACTTGGTATGAATGTAGCATGTACTATTATTTAAGTACATCACGTACATAAAAGCTGCTTTTGTTATAGAGTTGCACTATTACAATATCCATTATTATTTTGGGAATACTATAAAACAATTATGGTACAATTTATTTTTTCAATGATTTGATATCCAATCACCCTCAAGGTTGTGAAAATCACAGTTTTGTTGCTTGTTGAAATCACAGTTCAATTAAGTACAATTCACAAATTGGCAATGTTCTGGTAGTTTGACATGTTTCATGTCTTAAATGGATTAGTTCAAATAAATTATGTACAGAGAAAAAATCACAGTTGAATTAAGTACAATTAATAATTTCTAGATGTCTTCTTAGTTTCCATGTTCAAATATACCAATTAAAATAAATTTTGTACAGAGAGAAGAAAAAGAATGAAAAGGAAATTAATTTTCTCTCCAAAAACCTTCAACATCACCAATCCTATATAATATTTGTGCTTTCTTGGAAGCTTTAACAAATTAATCGATACCTAATGAATATAATATAGTCCAGAAAGATTAGGAAATATCATTAATATGAATGAGAAAACTCGCATAGAATTGCTTTTTAACTCATGAATTTGCAGTCCATTAAAATTTTCTATTCTCAAGGCCTTTTCAATTTGTAAAAAAGGTAGCACTCAAACAAAATACTATTCTATGATGCATAAGACTATTTGTAGCCAGAGCCTGAGAATAGTTTTCAACAAGCTCTGTAATAATTTCTTTCCAGTACTGAGCTCTCTTGATAAATGTGTCTACTGGGAGTTAGAACATTACACTTCACTTCTAGTTTGAAATGACCTGATCATACAAAAATAAATACCAAGATTCCCAACCTCAAATGAAGCCAAGAACCATTTGTACCCTTCCAACAGAAAGACAATTACTCAGAAATGAGGTTAACCAGAGCTCAGAGCTACAATAAAAACAATTCATGTAGTTTTCATCAAACCATGAAAGCATTTCTCATGATGCACATCTACTCTCTGATCTCTTGACCTTGCTGGACTACACTATGCACATCATTCTAGTCAGACCTCATCAGTCTTCTGTGCCAAAACAATACTTCCTGTTTTCAAATGTCAGATTGTCATGGTCTTCCAGCTACTTTGGCAAACTATCTACAGCTTTACAAGCAGCATCTTCTAAATCTTTAGCAGATCTAATAGGGAGACCTGATTCTGCAAGTATTCGTTTTGCTTCATTAACATTTGTGCCTGAAACAGTTAAAAGTATATCCTGACATTGGTAGTGACCATACATGGTAAGTGATTTGGCTAAGAAGTGAAGTACAAGTGTAAGAAAGCATTTGTTAGCATTATACATTAACATTCAGACTTTTTGCACATTATTATTTTATTATTTAAATTATCAGATAATTATTATAGGAAACAAAATTTATACTGTCCACGAGTTAGTGGTGTTATCAGTACAGTTGATGGGGCAGGATGAGATAACTGGTAATAAATATGAGCCATTGATAACTAGCCATCATGTTTATGTTAATGACCAAGGTTCGGATTCTGATGACATGTCATCTTTTCATTGGTGCATTCTACACAATTAATTTGTAAACGAAAGTTTATCATGACATAAAAATGATAGAAGTGTATAGTTATTGGGTCAATATTTGCCATTTTTACGCATATTCCTTTTCCTGTTTTTGTTTCGTGTGTAGTTTCATGAATTTACAATGACACACTACAACGTTTTCATTGTATAATCAGTTCATGACAAAATTTACTGCTGCTATGGACTCTTTGTTTTTCAAACTCTCAAAATTACATGGATCATTGGTAACTTCCACATACTTCCATAACTGACTGAAAGATCAGAGCAAAGTTTCCTCCTAAAATAAATACTATATTAAATTTAATTTTATCTAAATAACTTTGATTTAAAATTGTAAAATTCATTGAATAAATAAACATTTTCCTCTTATTTTTAAATCATTTTATAGGTCATTTTCAAAGATTTTTTAGGTCATCAGAATCTGAGCCCTGTTATTGACGCACAACAGTCTAATTAAAAATAAACCAACTGTCATTGCAATCTTCATATTCATAAATAAAATATAATACATTTTTTCAAAATTCCCCAATTTTTCCTTCCTCCTTTTCTTTCAATTTCCCCGATGTTTTCCGTTTTTCATTTTCATTAACACCCTACATTCCACATTAATTTACTTTAAAAATGAAAGTAAATGTTGCTTATTTCAAAATTTGGAGATATATGCTTTAAAAAAGTATATCATTATAAAAAAAAAATAAATAAAAACAGAAATATAGTTGATTTAATTTGCACTTACCTTCCAGGCGAACTACCAATGGAATGTTCAATTTAATAGATCGACAAGCATTGATAATACCATTTGCTATAGTAGCACAATTAACAATGCCTCCAAATACATTAACTAAAATAGCTTTTACATTCTGATCTGAAAACATAATATTGGCATTATATATAATTCAATTCAATTCTTATTTTGCTCCTTGTTTAAAAATAAATAATTTTACCTGATGTCAAAATTCGAAATGCTTCATAAACTTGTTTCTCAGTAACACCACCACCCACATCAAGAAAATTTGCAGGTTCCCCACCATGCAATTTAATTATATCCATTGTTGCCATTGCAAGGCCAGCACCGTTGACTGTAAACAGAATGAAAAAAGAAACAATATAGAAGTAATTAATTGAATATTTACTACAAAATAATTTTCAAAAACCAAAAACTAATCACTGTAAAAATAAAGTTCAAATGTTAACTATAACACACTTGATAAGAAATAATATACACTATATAAATGGAATTAAGTAAGAATTCAGAAAATTAGCAATAAAAGTGAACCCATCTTAATCTTTGGAGATTTTAATTTTCTCTTGATTATGTAGGATAAACATGAAGCTTCTCTGGAATAGAGGAAAAGATGTTATGCTTACATTGTTATATTGATTTAAATCTTCTCTACGGGTACAAGTATGAGCTAGCGCGATATTAAAGAAACCACAATCATTGAAAATTTATATTTAATTCTCACAAATGATACACATCTCAATACTCCCTCCAATGCATGGCCAAACATTGGTCACTGTGATCACTTATTCACAACCACTACATTGCGGATGGAATCTGGTTTGCGTAAATTTATCCCAATAATATATATGATGAACTGTACATATTCTTGAAGTGAAAGGCTGGTTTCTTGACTACATGTTCTGGGGAGGTGAGGAGATTTTCATTCACCAGCAACTCTGGGACAGTCAGGTGGGGAGTTTTCCCCACATTAGATACACCTTTCACCATATAACTTTAGAGGAATGTCTGCCAAGAAAATTAGGAAAGATAAACTCTTCAAGAGGCTGTTTTACTTTCATGCAAGGTCATTCCACCTATGGCTAAAGTTCTTTGATATTTAATCAAATTTTCAGTGGTGGTAAACTTAACGAGCTTTCACAGTACCCGCTTCTGTTCATGCAGCTGGTTTCCCCCCCCACAGGCAGATCTTGTGGTCAACACATTGATTTTAAAGGGGCAGCAGAGACCACATTGAGAGTGATATTGGGAAAATGGCAAAAAACCATATCAATGTCTTTGGGAAAGTTGATGTATACATGGATTAATTTTTTGAAAGTATCCCAATCAATATGATGTATCCAGGGAGATCAAGAGGTAACATTAACATTTGATCACTTCCAAGGCAGATCATTAAGAACAGGATCTAAGATAGTAGAAAAAAAAGACTGCAGACTTCAGTCAGGGAAAGTGGTGTGGCCAGTACTCGGAAAAATTACGTTATGACACCTACAGTATTTTGAAGAATGTTCTGGTAGGACCTTATGCCATCCCATATAAGATAGTGGGCATCGATGTTTTTAACAATAAGAAAAGGTGGGAGCAAGGAAAACATTGCATTGGATGGTGTTTTCCTCAGCTACGACAAAATAATGGACAAATACAAGACACCCCCATGAGTATGAATCAATATTGAATCTGTACAGTCAAATAGTGAAGAGAGAGGATGTTGGGGAAGAAGATTGCTTGTCTGCAGATAAATGGTCTACAGTGTGCAATGTTATTTTTATTTATGAAATAATGGTAGCAGCAAATAAGCTTATACAAACATGATGGATCTTACAATAAATTCAATGATCATCTATTATCACATTATCGTGTTCCAAATCATAGTTTTATATACAAGTCAAATCACAGTTGTCCCATCATTTGTTCTTTAATTTATTTCGATCTGTAGCAACAACAGTTCAAAATACTCTTGAAGGCATTCAATGCCTCCTTGTTAATATGAATTGCAAGAAGAGCATTCCACTCATTTACGACACCATTTATAATAAAATGTTATCAATGACTTACTCTTTGTCACTTCTTTTCGTGCTTCATATTATGTCTTTTTTAAGCCCCTGATCTGGACAATTTTAATTAATCCAAATGAGCATGAATGCCATTTAGATTCTCAGAAAGAGCCACAATGGAAGTTCAGATCTTTGATTTCTTTCTCATCTTCTGGTAAATGCTCAAGGCACTCACATGGAGCTCCTTGTTCACAGTAGAGTTGTTCAGATTGCTACTAGAGAGAGTTGCGAGCCTTGAAGAAATTTTCTCGATCTTTTGACACAAGCATTCTGGGATCTGAAGATATGCATTTTTGGACCTAATGTCGGTGAGGTATGTAACTGGGAATGGGGAAGAATCACCTCTGATTTTTTCAAAGGGTTTACTTGTGGACATGGTAGTGATTTAAACAGATAATGGCATACAAAGGTCCCTATTCGTATTAGCCCAGATTGGACTGTTTGCCAATTTAAGCACTTTGCAAATCTATGACTACAATGTAAGTAGAAAAGGATGCCCGTAATGACATGAAGATAAAGTATTTTAATGAAATTCCTACTCTCATTGATAATCCTACAAAACATCATGGTTCGAGAAATCTAGACCAAAAATACTTGTTAAAGGGCAAACTTCTACTTTCACAACCTATGACCAAAATGCCCTCTATTTTTAATGTCCCTTCTGCCTTCTTCCATGATTTGGATGCCATTCTACTCACCAAAACCTGACTTAATGACACCGCATTGAGTGTGGAATGCAACTTTCCACACTGTAACATCTTTGGAATGGATAGGAATTTGGCCATGATTCACCTAAACCAAGGTGGTGGTGTTTTAATAGGTCTACATTGGAAAATTCACTTCCTATTCCACACGAACAGAGAATGCATTTGTTAAGAAATTGTTTGTGATGGCCAAACATCACTCATTTGCTCTAATTATACATGGAATATATTTTCCTTCTAAATCATCACCTACTGTATACATTTGTTTAACAGAAAACTAGTGGAACCCAGCAGACACTGTCCTGCCCTCCATCTCTCTCTTCCTTCTTTCCTCTCACTGTTTGTGTCCGTCTCAGTCATCATCCCTGTCCTTCGTTTCCCTAGCCATCTCTGACCCTTTCTGAATCAGTCTGTGTGTGTGTGTCTCTCTCTTGGTAGGATTATCAATGAAAGTAGGAATTTCATTGAAATTCTTGATCCTCGTCATTTCAAGAAACCTTTTCTACTTAAATTTTTTATTTGATGTTTAATTATTTGATAGACAAGTATTCCCTTAAATTACATTCATAATTCTTAAATACCCACATTGGTACTCTGCCAAGCTACAGAAACTACTCTTCCAAAAACATAAAGCCCACAAAACCTTGAAATTGTCTTGGAAGAATGATGATCATTTGAATTTTTTTGAGTTGAAGTTGTGTAAATTGAAATCCAGAATATATTATACTGAGTTTATATATGTAGCAGAGGCTTGTATTTCATAATATAAAATCCTCTTGGAAATTTACCAATTCCAAGAAGGGAATTCATGGATTGTCATCTTATTTAACCGGACGTTTCTGCAAACTCTGATCAGGAAAAAGTGGGTTTATTTGCAGATTATTTCAAGTGTTTATATACACAAAATGTCCATCTTGTTGTAGATAATAATTAATTAATTTCTCCAGTGAATATCAGCAATCTCAAAATAGCACAACATTTTGAAACAATCAAAAAATTAAGAGAGGATGCAGAATTGCATTTTTTTCTTCAAGCAAGGTACTGTGTAACACGCCCAAACCTCCCTGTGATAGGATCCTGTCCCAGTTAATACTCATTATAAAGCCATAAACATAAATTGATGGTCCAATGTGTTTATACACATTGGGTGTACGGGCTATTATAGTACAAAATAAGTAGTAGTGAGAAACATAATCATATGATAAGAAAATATTACAGGGTAGATGGATATCATATTTTGAGGTAAATAACATTTCACTGAGAGATAAATATGCAAAGTATTTGGGCCAATGGGTTCCGTGTTACTTTTCCTCGTTGAAGAAATTATCTTATGTTTGCTTAAAGATATGAATATTAGGTGCTGTGAATGCATTCTCTGATAGTGTTCCAAGTATCAACAACACAATTGCTCAGAAAGTTCATGTGTGTTATAAGGTTCTATTTTGATTTCACAAGTTTTGTACTGTATTGTAGTGAAAGATTTTCACTGTTGAAAGATGATGTTTGGGTCTGTGTTGAAAGCCCATGTAATATTTAGTATGTGTCAATCATGTCTCCCCATAGTTTCCTAGAAATGAGTATCAGTGGCCCAAGTTTGGTCAATTGTTGTTCGTAGGTCATGTTTATGAGATTATTTGGTATGTGTATTGTCCTTGTTTGAACTTTCTCCAGTCTTTAACAAAGTAAGGGTTCCCAACAGCAGTGTCAATTTATTATTAGTGTCATATATTCCGGTAAATACTGTGTAACCCATGAGAATATTTTTAAAAGTACATCAGTTTATTTTTATAAATTCTCATATAAAATGAAAACTTAAAACTTAGTGAAAAGAATAAAAAAATTAAAAAAAGGTTATTACCAAGGCATCCAATATTCCCTGACATGCCAATGTAGTTTAGATTGTGTTGGGCAGCATCCACTTCTCTTGGATCACTCTCCGAATGGTCTTCCACAGCAAAAATTTCCTTCTGACGGAATTTTGCATTGTCATCAAATTGTATTTTAGCATCAACAGATACAACAGCACCATTGTCTGTTTCTACAAGAGGATTAATTTCTACTTGAACTGCATCAACTTTCATAAAGAAGTTCCATAATTTCTGTATTTCAATAGCAGCCTGAAACAAATATGAAATAACTTTTTATAATACTTATAAAAATCACTAAGTAACATAAAATTAAAAATGAAGCATCAAATACATTTCATATTAGACTAGTATTTGCTTTTAAATACATTTTGCTGACAAAATTTGACATATGACAAAATTTATATTGAAGACTCTAAAATCAATGAAAAATCACTTCTTACATATTTTTTCTGAAGGACGAACAGTATATTTTTTTGCTTAAGCCGTATAACAGTAAATTCATCGCAATAAATGTCATCGACAATATTCATACCCTTTTAGTTTCATAGCTTTTTAAGAATTGCAATTTTTCCCAAATTCAGATCTTAATCTCTCTGATAGGACTACAGATCAAAACCTTAAAAAATTGCACAACGTGAAGAGCCTTCTGAGATATATTTATAATAAAAAGTATTTGGTATGCTAGACAGATGATGGAATTATGCCATCTCAATTATCATAAAACACAAAGAGTGAACATGAGTATCATAAAACACTTATTCACTGTGTCTGTTACACAGAATATTTTTTACCTTGTAAAGTATGTCTGGAAGTACAGTATCTTTGCCGCAAAATTATGTTCTTCCTTACCCTGCCAAGTTCCTGATCCAACAAATATAATGTCATTGACTTCACGGGACTGCCAAGACAGTGAACACAGATTAAAGAAGAGGATTTTCACACATTTTCAACCATATCACTTGTTTGCAGGTCTTAATCAGAATTTTTATTTTTGACTTGTAGAACGAGAGGATTTGCTAGTCTACAAGTGTCTACCCTGGCCTATTCAGTAATCCTTAAATAAAAGATACTTTTGTTTATTTAATGCAGTATTTAATTCTCTTTCAGATCAACTATTAGTGGTTTACTTTATGTTGCATTTAGATGTAGTATTTTTGCTTGGCAATACTGCACCAGGAAACTTGGTGTAAACGGGACAAGTTTACGAACTCATAATTTCATTACTTTTCTCAAATTCTTACAAAATTCTCTTTCAAATAGTTCATTTTTCTTCTTTGTACATGGTCGTTTACTTTTAGGTACGCTAAATAAAAATAAATTATTTTTTTCACTCATAATTTTGATTACATTATTGATTATAAACTAAATCTTAAATCTTAGCATAAATATATACAATAAAAATTATACATTAGATATTGAACATTCTTCAAATAACATCATTTCTCGTGACAGTCTACATTAATAATAAGTCATTTTATATAATTAACAATAAGCATTTTACTAATCACCATCACTAATTATCATAAATATGTAGAAAGTGTCTATTCATTATTCATTTAATCAATTTTACATGGAAAAGGTACCTAAATAATAAAAATTCTACTTAATTTTAATTCACTAAAATTTATGAAATACATTTTAAATTTTAAAAAAAGAAAATGAAATAACCCATTATAACAAATTCTGAAGACACAATACAGAAAGCAGCCTTCGAACTAAGCAACATATGCAAAGAACTTCTAATGAAAACCTGAAGTTGGAAAATAAAAAACACAAGTTTTCTATGGAAACACCAAGTCAAAATAGTTATAGAAAAATCAATAATTTATTCTTTAAATACCTGAGAGTTTTAGTTTGATTAGATTAGAAGAAAACTGAAGAAGTAAAACAACAACACATAGAAACATGAGAATAATAAAGAAATATATTGAACGAATGAGAAAAAAAACTATTATGAGAATTCAAATATTTTTATCAAAAACAATGTTGTTGCATATGCAGAAATGTGGATAATGGAAGCAAAGGAAACAAGAAGCATGGAAGTAGCTCACACAAAGTTTTTACAGGGCATTTTTAGGTGTAACAAGAAGAGACAAAATTTGAAATGAAAAAATTATAGAAATACTCAAATTATAGATGAATTTAGCAGAAGGAATAAAAGAATATGAGACAAAATGGAGAAAATGTGTTAAGAGAGACAAACAATGATGACCATGGATGGCATTAAATTTTGGACTACTCAGCAGAGATACAAGAGGGACAGAGGAAGACTGACACGAAATGTCATCAGCAGCAACAGTTCACAAGAAGGAATACTGCTTCGTTACCCTCTAGTAAGACAGAAAATTCTGACCGAGGGTGGTAATGAAGATGGTGGTGATAATCAAAGTTACCAGTAATTTTTTTTTTTTAACCAAATACCAACTAATCTTTTTTTTCCTTTCTCCCCCCACCAGCCTTCCAGAAACCCTCCCCCACTTTATCCAATTCCTGACTTTCCGCCCAAACATTTTTCTTACCCTGACTAGCACAATTGGAACATATCTAACTTTTAAGTAACTAACCCAGGAAGGATTATCTCAGTCCAGACCAATGAATACAATTGTTGTTTAGACCATTAAATTCCATAACCAATGAGAGTGTAGGCTTCAGTGGTGGGAGTTGCTAACTACTTGGCTGTCCGGGAGACACCGTGTCGTTTTGCCCTGAGGAACGTCTGAGAATGGTGGCTGAAACGTTGACACCTGTGCCTAGGATGTGGCGTCCCCCAAACAGCCACATAGTTACTTACCATAACTAACCCTTCAACATGGAATGCCATTTTCAGATGGCACATTCATTCCACTTCTATTCATTTGTGAACACCTTCTTGACTTTGGAGATTTTCCTCTGTGCAATGGGATACTATGAGAGGGGTGGTTGCTGTTCATGTGTACTAATTGGGCTACCTGCTACCAAGCCCCTACCACCATGTATACAGACCCTTTCACATCATGAGCAAGGGAACATTACTGTGCCCTACCTAAGCTCCGTGTTGAAGTACTAACTATGCAATGTTTGCCGGTCATTGTTATTTTAATAAAAATTTTAACATGTAAATAAATGTTAACTGTCAAAGATATTAATTCCAGTATAAAAGGTGTAGTATATTAAAATATATTTACATTAAAAATATTTAATTTAATAATGTTCAATATGATTTTTGTGCGCTCTTCATCAAATGAATGGTATCCACTAGACTGTATAGAAAGTATAGACTGTATAGAATAAAACACTCTTTGTCATTGTTCCTAAACTTCTGTTCCTTTTATTCAATTAAAAATAAAGGATTTTAAATTTTCACAGGTTGTGTGAGCAGGCACACAAACAATTAATTTTGTGAACACGTACAGGATATTTTTAGGTTTGATTCTTTTTTCAAGACTTAAATCCTGGAGTTTGCAAAGACAAAAAGGTTGGGGATCACTAATCCACATCAATAAGAAGGCACACGTCATAAGACATTATCAAGCATATTTGACAGATTTCTGCAGGTCTACATATTTTGGCAAAATATATCTATATGAGAGCAATATTCAATGCTTTGCAACCCTTTTGTACAGTAACTTATAACTGCAAAAATTCTATCTCTATTGTCGGCATTACACCAAAACCATGAAATTGCAGGAAGTCGAGTTTGAGAGCAATGATTTAATGTTGATATTGCTGTGAAAAGCAATGAATAAATATTTAACTGTCTAGAAAATTCAAATTTTCCATGTGAAGGTTTGTCTATTAGTTTCATATTGTGTAATTAATTAATCATTAGTTCTTTAGTTGGGAGTTAGGATTTGTTACACATCTGGTTTTTGAATGCACGTTTTTATGGTTTGCCTTTGCATTTTTGTACTTTTGGTATCGTGCCTATGATATTAGTACATTGAACCTTTGATAAGTCTTTGTTTTATTCCAAATCAAACAATTCCTGGCTTTTATCTTACACAATTCAATGAAAATGTATTATCTTCAAGTATTTCACTCATGATTGATATAGCTCCTGATAAGACGCAGCTTCCCATGACAATACTTTTAAGTCTTTTAACATCATCTCAGGAAAATTAACTATTTTTTCATGATATTTTTTGGAAAGGAATAGTCTTTCTGCTGTGATTTGAAAAAACAACTCTTCAGACTTCACTAACATTGTAATTTATTTTTAACTACAATAGCTCAATAGTATTTACTTTTGTCATTTTTTTGTGCAAAATGTGCATGTAACACAATCTTATTTAAAACACTTGTTGAGAAGTTTCCTTCTTTCATTGGATTGCAATGTTACCAAAAGCCTATGTTAGTCCTTCAATACAATTGTAAACTAAAACTTGTACAAAATTCTTATTCCCTTCAAAGGGCACTGTAACATTTTTAACAAATCCATTTCCAATATGGATCATAAAGGGCTTAAACCAAAACATCATTCTGTTAATGAATGAGTGATTGATTGGTGTTTCTGGATGCTTCAACTGTTAAGGCCATTAGTCATATACGTGTAGTGCATGCTTTATCATGGGAGGTGGCGGTGACCTATCGCTGGATGGCAAGATCCGGTGCCAACCTACAAGTCGGCTAGTAGGGTTTTCTTCTGAGCAGGTAACTCCCACCAGCATGGTATCCTAGCTGGGACATGCTCTAAGTTCCCAACAGGTCAACCCGTATATTGGTAGTGCAGTGCCTGTAAGCCTAAGTGTGTGTATGTAAGGGTGAGGATACAACAAGGAAAAGGAAGGAAAAATTGCAAAGAGAGAAGCCATGGAAACAACTGATCAGAACAGCCAGCTGATAGAATTCTCCTCTAGACAGCAACTTCATTTGACCTATGCGGCTAGTGACGAGAATCGTGTCCATTGGGGCTCACTAGAATCAGGTCAGGTAACATCAATTGCAGTAACATCAATTGATGATACGAGCCACCTAAGCTGGTATTTTCTGTTAATAATATTTATAATGCTATTCATTAACTGAAGGGTAATGTAAACATATGAAATTACTGCTTTCAAACTGGTTTGAGAAATTTTGCAATAAATAAAATTGAAACTGAAATTATTGCTTCAATGCAAAACTACACAAAACTGTGGGTCCACTGGGATGTAAACATTCTGTGCATGTCCAGTTCTAAAAACAGCATTTTGAGACAATCTATCAAATTGTTAATATTTGAGATAATAATTTAGATTTCTTACTTTCAACTATTCCAAGATGTGAAAACACATGAAATGTCCATAAATAAATGTTACTAACAGTTTTATAAGAATTAATTGTTTCATACCCTACAGTCCAGACACAGAAAACAATGAAGTTCTCAGGATACTTGAAACATTTCTGAGAACACATTTTCATAGTTTTTTAGTATCAGGTACCACAAAGGCATTTGAAAAGAATGTACAAACATATCTAGAGTTGCCTATGACCCTGAGCTATTCACAATTTTTGCAATTTTGATATGAATACAAAATACTTGCTTTCAAATACCATATTTCATAGGCAAATTATTTTCACATCACAAATATAAAATAAATACTAGTAAAGACGTTACAACTACAAATTAACACAAGAACTTTCAAGTCTACTTTTTTTTTACATAATACGGGTATATGTGAAAAAATATGTGGAGCATATAAAAAAAACTGAAGAAAGGTCACATGGATACACATTAAATTCAGTCATCTCACATACCCTGAGAGATGTGAAAACATGTGCCTCCCTACCCTACATCAAAGAAAAGATGGAAATAATGTCAAAATGTTTAGGGGAAACATCCAATACGGAAAGGAATCTTTGGAGAGGTCACTGACAGTAGACTTCAAGGACATCATCTGAAGCTTTGGAAGGATAACTTTGATCAGAGCTGGGAGGCACGTATTCATCAGGCTATTAATAGTGGGAACTCTCTCCCAGATGACTGTTTCAATCAGACAATTAACACACTCAAGGAGAGGCTGGATCATATGAACGTGACAAAGAGAAAACAATTGTACAATTGAATAAAGTGGATTACAGATTGTGACAAAGCTTCTAAAAAATTTGAGTGAAGATGTAGAAATTATATGAATTACTTGTAGACGGTTTGAATTGTAACTTTAAACATGTTTACTGGCTTTGGCTGCTCTGTTAATAAAAAAATACCACAATTTCATGAATATAATGTAACACCCTAATTTTGAAGAGGCTTCCTGACAATTTTCTTTCATTTTTAACTAATGTTTACAATGCATTCAAAATAAAAATCGTAAATTCTCTTGATGTGAAATCTTTTTGCTTGAGCTATGACTATTTTCTTGTTCCTTCCCTTCTTACCATCATTGTTTTTGTTTACTTTATTCATCTTCATATGTATCTTTGTTTCTTTCTGTTCCTCCCATACTAGGCCATCCTCTGACTTTTTTATTTTCTTCCTGGCACTTTTGTTCATGGCCTCAGTTACTTTAACAACCATAAACATGAAGTTCACATCATTTAATGTTTGCAAGATTTACTAGTGAATTGCAAACTTGAGAATCTCAGTACCTCCGTTCTGCAGGTAGAACGGGGAGAATGACTTTGGATTCAGGATTTTCTTGCCAAGAAAAAAATATTTTTAATCATTCCATGTGAGTGGTTAAACATAGAATGCATACTTTCACTGAAGTAAATATTTTTCATTTTGATCTCTTGCAAAACACTAACGAATACTTGCTGAATGTTGAATTGAGAGCTCACATGGCAATGATGATCGTCATCCTCATTGAGTGCAAGGCATAACAAAATATCAGCAATGATTTTAATTCTTTATACGTGTTTCACATACAGTGCCTTCATTGAAGATTCTCTCTTTAACAGCCAATTAAAAAATATTGGTTGGAATTGCCTGGTATATCAGTCAGTGGGTGTCAGAATAAGTCGGCGAATATAATGTCGAATAAGATTATATACAAGGTTTTTATTGTCTTGGGAGCTTGTTTGAAGGAAGTCAAAAATTCACCTAATATCCTTTATCCAGGAGAAAAACCCACATATTCAGTGTGTAGATGTGTAAGTGTGCAGGGTATGTGCCCACCTAAACTATCAATACATTGCAGAATTAACTTTGATGAAAATACCTTATTTTTCATACTGCCTTTAAATTCCAAAAAATCTGCTATGTTTTGTGCAAGATCTTCAGAAATGCCTTCAAAAATGTCGATTGGCACTGTCTTCACAAGGTGAGGAGTTTTCTCAGCCACACTCTCAATATCCATTCCTCCACAGGGTGATGCAATAAGCACAGGCCCATTGTGTAATCTATAAAAGATATAAGAATTTCATTGTCTGTATTTAAAGTTTTCAAAGGAAAACAATTTTTATACAGTAATAATTATTCGCATTAAAGGGCAACTGTAGTTGACCAAATGTATTGAAAATCTAAGTAACAACAGAAGTCACAATAAATATTACTGTACATAATCAGCATGAACTTTGAGCATAAAAAGTGTCAGGTAATACAAGGCAATTTACATCTTTCAACAATAAGCAGTACGTTACTATATTTACCCAGACTCCCTAATGGTTGTGAGCAGTGAAACAGGAAAGGAAATATTTTTCAATTACTACACCAAACATAACATTAAGAAGGGGCTACATTTTTAACCACACCATTAATCTAGCTATTCTAAAAATTGAAATTTTTTAAATACCCTGAAAATAATCTGGAGGATTTCCCTTGAGTTTGCTGAAGTAAACCTTCAGGATATATAAACTTAGGTGTTAAGAGAATACCTTCTCTTTATACTTTAAGCTGACTTCAGAATTCAACCACAAGACAGACCTGGCCACCACTATCAAGGGCCTTGGTGATTGAATTTGAAAGGATATTATCTTTTTTTCTTCACTTTCTTCAGCCAAAACTGAACACACCGTTTGTCATATCCATATTTTAGATGAATTTCCAAGCTCTTTCCTTCTATCTTTCACTTATTTTTTCTTTCACCAGTTGACAAATTGTCCAGTAATATAGAATAGTAGTTTGTATAATCATGTACTATAGATTTTTATAACAGTGAAAGTATCTACTTATAACTTCATAATCTAAGTCAAACTAAAATGTTCGAAGATTTTATATTTTTCTGAACATGAACTACAACTATACTTTCTGTATGAAAAGTTGTAACTCACCTGTCCATCACTATGCATAGGTATGTTTCTCTTTTGATAGTTACTGATTCTGCTACCATAACTTTCTTTACCATGATACCATCCTTTGGAGTTTGTTTTGTAATTAGTTTGTGCCCCACCATCTTCCCCACAAGTGAAGTAACTTCGGAAGGACTGGAAAGTAAATAACACAATACTGAATAAAATCATGAATTTATCCTTCATTGCTGCTACTTCTAGTAATTCTCAGTCAAACTCCTGTCCACAACTATAACTCTGAGTACCTTCAAACTGGGTGATTACCTGTCCTGTGGTGTAATACTTAGCTAAAGTATGTATTTCAAGAGTTTATTTCTTAACCATTCTATTATGCCAAGTGTGATGATTAAATATTTTCCATAATATTTAAGAAATTATAATCAATGAAACTCAATAGTTGATGGAGTCAACTGTGTGGCTTCAATGTTTCGAAAACAGATGTGACTATGTAAGGGATAAATATTTATTATTTGCTACTGAATTACCTTTTCAAGCCAGAATAAACATTATGCTAAAATAAGTTATGCACATACGAGTCACTTGAACCTACAACATGTTCCTTGTACATATTAAGACTTTTTGTGTTTGAGTAGTCTAATCATGACATAACAATTATGCGCTAGGAAAAACAATGTATTCATATGCAACTTGTAGATTACTACCAAGCAAATCCAAACTTGATAGTAGAAAAAGAACAGAACATTGAATAATATCAAAATATTCAAATACTCATGAACTTATAACTCACTTTTTAGTTAGATGAACACCACCTTTAAAGCCATTGTCAAAATGACCCAATCCTCTCCCTCCAGCCAGGATTTGTGCTTTCACTACATATTCGTCAACCTCTATAAACAAAAAGAACATAGAAAACCAACATAAGTGGCATTACAACTAGCATTATTTTAAATATCTTTGTACATAAGTACATTGATGTGCATGCATGTATATTCAATGAGACGATAATCTATCTAAAGAAATCTTTGCCATTCTATCTAAAGAAATATTTGCCATCAAAGAAAAAAATGAACAATTTTGACCATACTGAATCTGGAATAAAATAATTTATTAACAATTCAAAGTCCATGTAATTTTTCTATTATAAAAATTAGTCTTTTTGTTTCACATCATTCTTAACCTGGGTGCTGTATAAGAGGTGACACAAATTTGAGTTAAAATAAATGTGCTTCCATGGAAGTGTGCAATTCTCTGCAAACAAATTCTTCTAAGGTAAAATACAATCCAACTTCATTCAACTAACTGAGATTCTAAAATAAATTCTATCCCAATAAAAGCTTTCAACTTTGGTAAGAAACTAGTATCATGTAGTGCTCACAACAAACTTTTATACCAAAATGCACAGAAGAAAAGAACAGAAGAGGGAGTGCCTTTTGTGAACACATTTTAAGCACTGGCTAAAAAAACTTGTCAACTCTCATAGTGAGCATTCGTTTTTGATAAATAAATTAATGACCTAACTATTTTCCCCTGCGCGTGAATTAGAAATTAATGCGCAAAATTTGTCTTTCTAAGAATGATGAAAATAAATATTTATATTTCTAGTGAAATTTTGATATCTGGAATTAAATAACATTTCAAAAACTTAGTGTATGCATGTGTCAACTGAAAATTTTGTGGTTTCAAATTATATGGTGAAAAGATATATCACGTTATTACATTTTTTTGTAAAATATTAGATACACAAATGTGGAAACTCATCAAATGTAAACAAGTGTATGCAAGGTGTTAAATCAGAGTTTATACGCAAAAAAAAGTAATCTCCATAGCTGCTCTCTAGTTGGTTTCTCCTGGCACTAATAGTTAAGAGAAGATAAATAACTGAGAAAATGTTATATATACAAATGTAAATTGTGGTGTTTTACATCTATAATGAACAGTAAGAATAATGAATTACTACCTAGTAAAATCAATGAAATAGCAATAATTAACAATTCCCTCCATATAAAAGTTAAAACTTTGTAGCTATACTAAATGGATCAATTAAAAGTCTTGGGCAAATTCACAAATTCTCCTTTTGTTTACTAAGTAACACCACCTTGCACTAAACTCTTCATTTCACATTCATATGCTTAATGGTTCATTGTCACACAATTGTAAATGAAGCATGTAATAACCGAAGGTATAAGAATGTAACGAAGAGGACTACCAGGAACATCAGAAACAAAAGTATTAACTTCTATTTTCATTTGTCTAATTCAAAAAGGTTTTGTTTCTTCTAATTTTCCGTGCCTTTGGCTGCTTACAAGGTGTCACTAATTGCACAACATTCTTATATTCTGTTTTTTGGCATATTATCTGCAACCTGATAGTGCTCATTTAAAAAAGTGACGATTATATTTGACATTCTTCTACAACATACTATGCATTAAACACCAAGTACTATTACAAGCATTCTATAAATCTTGACAAATGTTTAAACCAAACCTGTATGAATAAGATATTAAGAATAGCATAGTCAGCTTCCATAAGATATATGAACTGTTGAGAACAAGAACATACTAAAATTTTGAGGTAGTGATTTTGCTTCTTCTGGGTTTTCAACAATCTTAAACTTCTGCACACACACATCATTGTCTTGCAGCAACACTTTGCTTTGATATTCCAACAGATTCAGACTTCGTATTTGACATACAGAAATCTACAATCAAATAAAACATCCCATTAAAATTAAAACAAACAAGAAATTATATACAATTTTTGCAATAATAATTCTTACCTGTTTACGACACTTTAGATTCAAAGATGACTTAAACAATAAATGACGTAATGATGCCATTCTGTAAAAAACAGAAGAGAATTTAAATTAAAATAATGCAAGATAAAATACGCTTTTTGCTCAAGGTGTATTTCATTACAAACATTTAATTATTTCCAACATACATAATTATACACATTACTATTATCTCAGACAAGAAAAATAGATATTAACTGTAAAATAACAGAAGGTTTCAACACTACTGTACAAGTAAATTCAGCTTTGGTCTATGTATATATAACATTCTGCATATCAAATTAATTTTTTTTTCTTTTCTTGAGGCTCCCAAATGGTTTCTTGATCTCCCCAATTATAAAAAAATTCTTTCTGGGTTCATTATTTTAGATTTCATATTTGTGAATATATTACAAACATACACACTTAGTTTCATTAGATTTTCACAAACAGTGGCAATTAAACACATGTGAACTCACGTGCATAATATGGAACTTAACAAATAAGGTTATACTGTCTTACTGCATCCGAACACCATAAAATGTTTACAATATACCTTTTTGACGGACACAGATTCACCACAGGTACAAAAACATAAACGCCCAACGAATCAGCTCTACATGAGATAGCATTAAAGCACGTGGTACTGTACAGTGGTCAAAGATCAAAATCCTAAAGCTGAAATGAAACAGGAGATGTTACAATTCACTAGTCGTTTTGGAACCACGCGACATTTCCAATACCTTCATCTGAGTTTGTTGACCCACGCCCTTAAACAATTTTTAATATAAATTACATGTTTCGTCGCCCATTCAAATTAACATGGACAGGTTTGGGCTTTATCTAAAACAGGTTATCAGGAAATTTCAGGGCAACAAGGAAGGTTTGAATACAATAACATGCGAGGAATGTAATGTGTACCAACAATACCAATACGAATATTGAATTTTTCCTTTTCTTCTTTTATGTGACAAAACATGAGTCTAATTAAAAGTCTGGGGGCGTAATAGAATTACGTTAAATTCACAAACACCTTCAGATTCAAAGGCTGGGTGAATGTGCAGTCCAGAATTGTAAACATTGGTAGGCAAAGGTTGGTTAGTCCTCAAATACGCAGTACAGTATTTTCAGCTGTCTCATTAAATATTCCCAAAATAATGTGACCATTCACTCTTCGGCAGAAAATGTTTCGAAAAGAAAAAGTATTATGTAATTCCCTTCAGCTATTTTATAACTACCGTAACTGAACATGAATACTAGATATTTATTTCTCAAACTCGTACTGTATTTATTTCCCCACTTAATTTCACATATAGCATATGCGAAAATGTTGTATAGTGTATTTTCGAAATCGTGCTTCCTCCCAAAATCACATACGAATAAACACTGTTAACTATACTGCCAAAGAAGTTAATCAACTTTAATTAAGAATATTAGTTCACTTCAATGTTTAAAATACAATTTCTGTATTACGTGAGTCATATATGCGGCGTTATTTTTCACAGGCTATTGCCAAAAACTTGTTTGAAGTATCGATTTCACTCTTCTATTTGGACCAATGTGGTCCATTTAACACCAATACAGGAACACAGGCGTGCGCACAAGGGGCCGTGGCCACCTGAAATTTTCGAAAGGCGCTTTGCGTTATGTAATAAATTATTGCCGTAAACATGATCAATTCCTGATTTTCAGATTCTTAAGTTTACAATTTTAGGAACTGACAGGCATATGAGGGCTCTCCAAACCATCTGACATTCTGTAAATGGTTCAACATTATATCGTTAGTACTTATTAATTGTGTCATTAATTATAATTGCATGTTCTTTACATTGTTTTATTTTCTATTATTATTATTATTATTATTATTATTATTATTATTATTATTATTATTATTATTATTATTATTTTGACTTTTCACTTCTCCCTCGCAGAGTGAAACATGCACCTGCCATAGTCACTTCGGCTAGGCTCACTCATACGGCTCTGGCGAGCAAGTACGAACACTGTTGGTAGATTCTTTTGTATGATATTTGTAGCACGGTGTATGAGTGTCATCCAGGAGAGTATTTCTTAGTGCGCTTGGTATGGATGATTCGGCCCAATAGTGTCTCGTTTTGTAGTCTCTTGGAGCTAGTGCACTGCAACCCGAGATGATGTGCTGAATTGTTTCATGATCTCGCCCATGCAGTCAGCACTTATCACTTTGTATTTCAGGGTCTTTAATGATGTATTTAAGATAGTTATTCGTTGGGACAAACTGATCATGGAATTCCATCATAAAGCCTTCATTCTCAGGGTACAAATATCCTATGCTGAGCCATTTGTACATTTCCCCGTCGACATTTTGATTGGCAACTGCAGTAGGATATGCACCGTGGAGGGCTCTCTGTTTCGAGGAATCCATTTCTTGTTGAAAAGATGACTGTTGGATTGATATATTTTGTTATTTTAAATTTAGGGGAGTATAAGTGTCATCTGCCTGTTCGACCACCTTGTGGAGTTGAGAAGTATTCACTTTCCCTACAAAATACTTTCTCATGGCTGTTATCTGCTTAGCGTGGAGGTTTGTCAACTTTATGATACCACGCCCTCCCATTCGTCGCGGCAGTGTCATACTCCGAATAGCTCATCTTGGGTGGTGGCAACCAACACGTGTCAATTGGACTCGCACCTGTCTTTCTATTTCCTCTAGGTCTATTAAGCGATATTTGAGAATACCCATCGAAAATGTGACAATAGGAAGAGCGTATGTATTGATGCCAACCGCGAGGTTTCGAGAATTGAGGGAAGTTCTAAAAACTGCCTTGAGTAGGTTCTTGAGCTCAGTTTTTAGCGATCTCTTCAGCTTGTGATGTGCTATCATACATTCCTGTTTATTACCAAGATATTTGTATAATGCATTGGCTTTCAGAGCGGATATTCTCTCTCCACTTAAGTCTCGAATGGCGAGTTTACCCTTCTGTATCTCTTGAATTTTGCACTTGTCAATCCCCAACTGCATATCAATTTCTCTGGAAAATCTTCAATGGTTTTTATTTCCATGACTGTGTCACGCATCATACCTGAATAGAGATTAATGTCATCCATATAGGCTAAGTGCGTTATACGGGTCTTTTCAGTGCCTTCAAGTTCGAATATTGTTTGTAGGTCTTCCAGGAGTGTTGAGAGTGGGTTCATGGCCTGACAAAACCAGTAGGGGCTCAGACCGTCACCTTGGAAAGTACTACGCCTTGTTTATTTTATTGGTGATCACTGTTTCATTTTTGCCGCGACACGTATAGTGATCTTCCATTTGACTATGGCGAATTTGAGGAAATTCACTATCGTTGGATTAATACGGTACAGTGAAAGTATCATGCGGCATTAGTCAGAAAACCAAGTGAAGAAGTTGCGTCTTTTCTTACATGCTTGAGACATGCTGACGCTGTCAATGATAAGTTTTTCTTTACAACCAAGGGAACCTTGTCTGCATCCTCTTTGAGTTTCAGCTAGGATAAAATTCACGGTACAGTGATGTTCGATAATCATTGACAAACAACTTGTGATGATTTTATAGAAAGAGTTAAGACATGTTATAGGCCGGTATTTTGCGGGATCTACAGTATCACTGGTTTTGGGCTTCATAAATGTGATACCTTCGCAGAGAATGCGGAATTTCTTCGGAATAATTCAGGCAGTTGTTAATGACATTTAGGATCTTCCCGTGGAGACTAGTGAATTTTTTTACCAATAGCTATGCAAACAATCGAACCTCGGGCACTTCCAATTGAACAGTCTCTGTATAACTTTCTGTAGGATATCTTGAGTGATTTTAGTTGTCATTTTTGTGATCTGCGTCGCGGTACCTCTGATCTGTTCCAGCCACGGTGCGTTGACATGAAAGTGACTTTCAGTAGACCATATTTCACTCCAGTTTTCTTCTACAGCAGCTTTGTCTGGGGATGTTCATTTCTGTGTTTCATTTTCCTAGCCTTCTGTAGAAGTTCTTTTGGATCCTGAGAAATAATTTGTTGTCTGTTTTCCACTTTAGGCTTTTTGTATAGCGTTGTGTATGTGTATACGTTGGATATAGACACTCAGTTGATGTTTTAGGGTATCGATAAAGTCAAAAAGACTTGTTTTGTCGATATTGTGGTGTGTGTAGATGCGATGTTTCCTCCTAATTCATGCAATTTTATTTCTCAGATATTTACTTCCATTTCCTCTCTGGAAAGCTTGCAATATAGCAATATCTGATGTAATGCATTTGATCCGTTTTCGCAACCGGATTTTCCATGTGTGTTCTTTTAGCTATTGCTGGAACCTCGTGTTGATTGGATTTCAGAAAAATTTCCGCCATTAATCCTCACTATTGCAACTGCCCAACAATAGATTGAACAGGCGAAATGGTCCTAGGTCATGACTTTTGAGGTCTCATTAACCAATTGTTTTTCCTTTGCTTCTTTGACTAGCATGGCCAGTTTCTTTGAACTGTTACTTTGGAATTCTCGGTCTTAGATGTGGATCCATCCCCTCATACTCGATAATTGCCAGTCGTTATTGTGATTCAAGCTCTTCATGTAGGTGATCTCTTGGTATATCTTGTTCTGGAAGCACAATGAAAGAGCCTTGAGGTGGGATGTGAATTTGTGGTATGGGATTTGTTGCAGCTACAATGTTCCCGTGTATTTCTAACAGTACCTGTACTTCTGCTTTAATCTTATTTTGTCTGACACGTGAGACATATTTGCCGAATTTACTTATCAGCGCTCATCGATCTGCGATATTCTGCTCATTTAGGTGGGATAAATGTGGGCATTGTTGAATGAAACATTCAGTGCAATATCTGCCTGTATCCTAGACGGATTGTATCACAACGGGTAATGCGAAAGTACAAACTAATGACTTTTTCGTTCATATCATTAGTCCATTAAACTCTCGGTCGTGGCAGGCTGGCCAAAGTGGTCCCAAGTGAATGAGAAACACTGCGGACAGGTGTAGTACTCAGGAAACATTTCTTCTCTCGCGCTATCGTGTACGGCATACAAAAGGGCTTTCTTAAATTGATTTATTTAGTCGAAGAACAGTATAAACATCCCTACTTATGGAAGGAAAGTACTATCTACGCACGTTACCCTGAGCCTCGAAATCTCTTCCCAACATTTTAACTGTAAATAATTGAATGGTGATTAAAAGTTTCAAAATAAGCGTTATTAGCAACATTTAAAAAACTAGACTTATTTGCATCGATAAACAAACTGCGGATTTGATTTTTTGTATTGCTATCGAAATAGAATCTCTCAGGATCTACGCCTACTACCAGCAAAAGAAATGCTCAACAAAATGTGCATGTAGTGAAGCTACATTTATGTTCAAAGGCAAAACAAGAGGCCATCTAAGCATTTGCGTAATTGATCAGAGAAACTGAACCAAAACCTGATCGGGAAGGGGGGGGTCATTGCCGTGGAAACTAAAATACATTACTTGATACAGACGTAAAAATAATAATATGAGAGCAACGAGGGTGTTGAATTTTCACACTGTTGCCTTACGAGACAGTGGTGGTGTGTGTGTTTCCACCTGAAGTAGCTCATATAAATAAGGACACACCAAACGTCGCAAATGGAACTGACGTGAAATAAAAATAATATTTCAATCAGAATTTTCGTGTAATATTTGATGCGAAAGATGGGTGGAAAGATGTTGCATTATGAGAATAAAACAACTCAGAAAGCAGTGATTCGATGATGCGCAGTGATAAGGAGCATGTGCCTAGTGAGAACGAGTGAAATTAAACATCAAATGTCGACTTTGACAAAATAGGTTCGTACTGCACATGGACGTGGAAAATGGTAATATATTTTCCCCAACCGTACTTTTTGGCGCCACCTTACCGAATTGACTGCCGCCCCATAGGATTACCAAAGGTAGACGGACTTATTTTGAGGGAAACAGTTTTTCTGAATACATTTTTAAATAGCCTTGTTTTATATTGACACAATGGTTTGTTAATGATAATTTTAAAATGAAGTAGGGGAGTTTGAGGCTGGAGTGGATATTTCCATTCAGAATACTATAACTTAAATTATTTCTTTAATTTAAAGTATATTCTGTGCCTGCTGCATACCTTAGTATTACGTCTTTACTTTTCTATATAAACACGATGAATATTTTCTTCTTAAATATGTACATTTTAAATACAATTTTTAAAACATATATTTTGAACTCTCTATCCCCCCTCTAGGGGCTAATTTGACAATGTATGGAACTAATGTGGACACAGACAAAAAGTGTTATTTTTTCTTTCATTTGTATTTTTAATATACTGTAATTATTAGAAATCTTTCTTATTTATTAGAAAAAGTTCTGAAGATTTACCTATGCAATGTAAAGCATCCTTCACTATTTCCTCACTAATATTGCATCTTTAGGTTTTCCTAACATACATTCTGACGATCTGTATATGAGAAAGGAGGAAGATAAATAACCAAGAAAGTATTTACTTATTTAGCAATTATTGTCTATAAGAGGAAAGAGTTCATTCAATAATTTTCATTGTGTCTGTAACTTGAATGAATCAAATATCAAGCTCTAAACAGTGTAGAGTTAGTCATGTAATTAAAAAGCATTGCATGTGATTATATTTAGATACTCTGAACAAAAAGTGTAAAATGTTGCTGTTCAATACTGTAGGGTTACTGTGGATAATCCTAATGTCAATGTCTACATTAACCCCAACCTCCATTTTAGGATTTTGTATCAGTGTCATTTCATACTACAATGAAAATACTTTTATTGTGGACAGACGATAACTAAATCATCAAGTTTTCATATGAAGTACATTTAAAATCAATATTTTAAGATGAATACTCTACTTACTTTTTAAACGGAATCGCAACTTTATCAAATCCCACCACAAAACACTTTCCACCACTGCACAACGACCACTAAAGATCTACTGGCCAAAGTTTTCTGGCTTAAAGAACACTGTGTTGCCAACATAGACTCTAAGAAATAATTTTGACAGATTACGTGTGTTACCTATGAAATAACCATATTTGTCCACAGTAGTCCCAGTTCACACTAGCCCCTCTCTCTCATATCTGTATTTTAAATGCCGATATGGGAACTTGTCTAACACCCACAGCATTCATCAATACTGAACCAAAGCCCCTCTACACGCCACTGAAACTATAATAACCCCTCTACACGACAATAATGAGACCCATATGAGTGATACTGAAGTAACATAAACCGAAATACTCTATATTATTGATATTAATTTCCCATAAAATGATTTAGATTCATACGTGAAGACCGGCAGGGTCGAATTTACTTACAAACAACATAAGCGGTTACTGGGAACCGTCATCCATGAGGGGGGAGGAGTACGCCACGCAAAAGAATTCATAAACTAAAAATGCATTTATAGACAAGAAATAAAGAAAGTATTTAAATGAAAAAATCTATTTTATAAGTAATTTGTTAATTTTCATTTGTATTTGTACAAGAAGTAATTCTATTATAGCCAGTATTTTTTTTAGTAAATTGAAGATTTTTTTTTCCGGAGGGATTCTTCAACGCGATTTTGGGTTTGAGGGCCCCGCAATACTTAAATCCAGCTTTGACGGCCGGTGTAATTCACTGTGCAACAAACAGAGTAATGGTTGCAAAGTCATGGTTAATAAATTACAATAATAAAAGTCAACATTTTCTACATTGAAGTTAATAACTTTGAAATCATGGATTTATCAGATTTTAAAGTGTTGAATGTGATTTTCACTTACAGAAAATTTAAAATCTTAAAATATGTTTTAAAAAGACATTTTACTTGATATCGTAAATTTTTTTGTTTCACGATGAAACCGTTCTGAAAGAAAGGCGGCAACGCAGATCCCATCTGCCAGAACTCCGTTGGATGCACATCAGCGTGACCGGGTGACCCCAAAGATATCACATTGCTGCAGTGACAGTTTGAATTAGCTTAAACACAAAGATCGGCGTCGACTGCTACCCTGACAATCGGCTCGTGTGTCTGGGCAGTAAATATCGTTTTGATGGTAATACGTTCTTCTCATTTTCTTGATTTTCTGTTTTATATTCTTCAATATTTTATCTTTTCTAAATCGTCTTCAATTTTCTGAATTATGCGAACATCTAGTGTTACACTTATTTTTGTATAAATAAATGAAATTGCAACATTAAGAATAATGAACTCAATGTATGTCTTAGGGGTCGATTATTACTTAATTTTAAGGTTGGCAGCTGCCATGAGATGTATTTTCCGCCTAGAGTTGGAACAATGTAGTATTCTACGTTCGTTGCATGAGCATAACCATGATATTTATCAGGGAGGGAGGAAGAGATGAGTATTATTAATGAAGTACTAGTGGCATAAAATAATAAACAATACAATAATTCAACAAATTACAATAATTTATAAGTATATATTTCTAAAATTAATAAATCCAAATAAAATGGTTGTATTAAAATTAACATTATCAATCAAAATTATTATTAATATGGAATCGATAAAAATAGCTTTATTTCCTTAAAATGAAGAAACCGTTAATACATAAAAATCCAAATATTATTTTTCTTTTCATAATATGAAATTTTTACAATAAAAAAACAAGCAAAAAGTTTTTTCAAATACGATTGAAGAAACAAGTTTTTAATCTGTCACAAATTTCCTCGGATTTTCTGAAAATAGGACCTTAGAGATTTCATGTTTACGTTCTTTCTCCTTTTCTGAATGAAGTATCCTGCGTATACTCTCGATAAGTGAAATCCTTTGAGTAGGTTTCCTGTCATTTTTTATTTTAATTGGAGTTTTGCCATACGAATGGTGGTGAATGACCGCTTTGTACAACAAGTTGGGCATTGTGCAGCAAAAAGAAATGTTGCATTGTGATAATTTTTGTAAAGTGAAGTACTTTATGTTATAATTTTGTTCTGGTGGTTCGTTGTGTAAATTTGCAAACAATTTTTCAGGTGCAAAGGACTAAAAATTACTAATTAATTTTAAGTAATTGAATTCATGAACCATTTTGTATCTGGTTAAATAGGAGTTTAATTTGTCAGGTAATTCAGACAGTCTGTTTTGTTAAGACGCTGTCCTGCATTTGGTAGCCCTTCCTTAGCACAGTGCCTGGAAATTACATAAAAAGAATGCTAACTATATAAATAATTTAATGAAATGAAAATTAATAAAATAGAACAGAACGGAGTAGAATAGCATCACATTCACAATTTCCAATGAATGATTGTCAGCAGGAATAAATACGGTAAGATGATTTGCACTCCGTTCCAAAATTTGAATTCCAGAATGATCTGTGGTCTTTGTTCTAGTTACCATTCGCTATGCCTTTGCAATTTTAAGTACCAATCTCATAGCGACAAAGTGTATCAAAGTTATCAGGAGAAATTCAGCAGTCAGTGGCCTTTTTTTCAAAGGCAATGCGATCAATAAATTCTTGCGAAACTTAAAATAGTCACTACAGTGAAATAATTATTTTATACAAAATCACGATCCCCATTCTGCAGTTTTCTTGTTACAATGTCAGCCGAAGGTGGGCTGAAGGACACGTTTCTCACCTGGATCTAGAAAAATACCTATTCCATTCTTAATAAATTGTAAATTAATAAGGTATTGAATTTGTTAAAAATATTTTGTTATTCAATGATTGAATATTTCAATATATTGTTATTGAATTGTATAACTGTATATTACAATTTTTTTACATTTGTGTATTACATACACGTGATTTACAATAGTCAATTTTAGATCCTTTATAATTAATCCCATGTCCTTCCCTGTGTTGACCCTCAGGGAGTAAATGGATCCGCGCATGGCTAATCTTAATCATTAATTGGATAAATGAATCAGAAACTGAGATGCCAGCATGCAATATTGAGAAATGCAACATACAGGATATTGCCAACTTCTCTACATGCATACTATTTTTCTATGTCGTTATCTGCCATGTTCGCAGATGATAAGTTTGTCTTCGCCATTGAACGCTAGTCCCGCTACGTCTGTTAATAATATTTTATTAATCACTATTTTCTCCATAGCCGACGTCATCGTCCAATTCGTCAGCTATCTTTGAATTTATGCTATTGTCAAGAAATACTTAGGGGCATAGTTCATTGGAAACGTTTTGTCTCGACGTGGTTTTCTGTATCCAAAAATTTCCAAAGCACAGGCATGTACAAATGTTGGTAAAAGACGTGTCAAGAATTTAAAGATACTGATTGAATATCGTATCAGAAATTAAAACCTATTAAACCAATAATTGCAATACATTAATGCAAAATAATACATACTGATTTGAATACAAATTAATCATTTAAACGGTCTCAACTATTTTTTTAATTGAAACGAATAACATTGTACTGCGGTGTATATGTCCACATAACCCTACGCAGTCACTCGCCTGCACTGAGGTCTCTTGCAGCCCATGGAATCGTACACTCCGACCCTCCAATTTCTCTGTGGTCTTCCCCGTTTTCTTCTGTCTGGAAGAACGTCATTGCCAAACGCATTTAGGCCACTTTATCCCCCTCATTCTCTCCAGTTGGGCATGCCAGATGAGTTGCTTAGTTTCTACAGAGTCCATTATATTTCAAATTACATGACACAATACAAATGGCAATGACAAGCGACACGAACGTCAATGTTTGGCGAGTGGATCCAATGATTAGTGAATTGGGGGAAGCCTCAACTTTCCCAAAATCACTAACGACTTCGACAGTTTTGCAATGAATTATGTTGTTTTCCTATTGATGTCTCGGTTAATCGGGTCATTTGTATTATTTTATGTAATGTGTATGTTGACAGTGTACACAATTATTTGCCAAATATTTTTACTCGATCCTTATCAAATAGACTTATCGATTATCAATTTTCGT